AATTTTATACTTATTTCGGCTATTATTTTTACAGCGGCTATACAACGTCATTTTTCCAATTTTTTATGCAAACAAAAGTGGTTCTACAAATGGAGATGAAGCCAATAGATTGAAGGATTTGTAGTCTAAAGTAAAATCCAACCTTTCATATACTAATAAAATATGAGTAGAAAAGCATCAAATAGTGTATGGTGTGCCGAGACAGCCTAAAAAAAAAAAGACAAATACTTTGCGAGTTGAGACATATTTTTCTAGAGAAGTGCAGGTAAGACAAATGACAGTAAAATTTCACCAGAAGATTATGGTGAGCAGCTCATTAGTTTTCCTACTCAAGACTATCGTATATTACAGTTGTTGCAACTTTTGAAACACTACTTTGTATAAACTACTTCCTTCATTTGCTAGGCATTAGCATATTTACTTATTTATCAGATGACTTCAACAAATAAGAGAAGAGAATATAAAAATGAAAATTTAATTTCTTCCTGTACAAAAAAAGAGGAAGAGTGGCTTAATTACCAGCAAGGTCTCATCCCTTATGAGCGATAATGAACGATGATCAAGATAATTGTAATGTATTCTAAGCCTGGTCTTTGGTGAGTGTACATGAGCGAGAGAAATGACCTTAGTTCTTGGAAAAGGCAGGACAAAGACCCGCCTAATCCATAGAGAAAATATATTTGGGGTTTTAAGGGATATTTTTGGCCCTGTGTTTATTTTTGCCTAGTTCGAAGAATTAAAAATAAAAATCTGAAATGAGTCCAAACTATGGACGCATAAACTCTAATAGCATAGAATATAGACACATGTTAAGTTCTTTGTTTCAGGTCTACCACATAGTAACAGCTTATATATATTTTTGTTGTTACAGCAATTTAGATGTAATATTGTAGAGTGACTTATCTCAGGAAGGAGGGAAACAATATTGCTAGACTTAGATGCAGTATTTGGCAGTGCGATCAAGTGATTGAATGACAACTCACCTTGAAAAATAAACACCCTATTAACATATGATGTACCAACTTGATAAGCCTCTAATTGCCATTTGCAATTATGAAAACTTCCAAAACCAATTTAGTTATTCTTCCTCTATCCAAATCATTTTGTTTAAAGTTTAAACAATGCAGAATCATTTCTGCATGTTCATTTATTAGTTTTTCTTTACGGTCGGCCACAGTCTCTCAGCATACACAATAATCTTTTTTTCTTTTTAATGGATAAAGACAATAAATTTATCTTTTACCTACACTTTTTATGGTTAGTTTAGTTTACTTAGCTCTTTGTCTCGAACCATCCCCTTGTTATTATCAGTACTTCAAGCTGCAATCTCACCATGAAAAAAGCTAACACACTTAGGCAAAAAGAAACCAAGCTTAAGGTAACTTGATAGTCTCGGCTGACCTATTCCCGTCCTAATTTATGTGATTGTATTTCATTTTTAGTGTGTCCAGAGAAAATGACAACTTTCTATCTCTAGAAATAATTTAACTTTAAACTTACCGATTTACTTTAATAAGATTATTTCTAACGACACTAAATATCTATGGCTTGTTTCATATTACAAGTTTAAAAAGACCATTTCTCATAAATTGGGACGTAGGGAGTATTAATCAGACAAGTTCTTAAAAATTATCTAGATTAGTAATCATCGTCTATACGAGCAAAACTAGTAAATGAATTCAGAATAACTAAAATCATAAGATAGATGTGGAAATTAACGAACCTCAAATGGCGTGACAATAACAAGAGCTTCAAGAACACCCGCACCAAAACCAGCCATGACCCGACCCTGTGGGCTAAGCTTACCCGTTTCCGAATCCTTAAACGCTCCCTGTAAAATCGCATTGGAACCCATACGCAGCGCATATTTGAGAGTCAAATGAGTAGCAAAAGGCGTCAACCCTTTCCACAAAGCCCGTACGCCTTCATTCTGAATAGTTGTCGAACCGCAATGAACAATACCTTTATAAGAACCGGACCGGTCCAATTGAAGCCGGGTTTTGATGACGTCAATGGGCTGTAAACAACTGGCTTCTACAATCCCACCCAATGAACCGGAAATTGCTTTCATGTATGGTGGAATTGTTTTCTTATTCGTTGAATTTTGTTCAGCCATTGAAATTACTTAGTGAAGCAGGAGGAAGAGGAGAATTAAAACGGTACCGTACTAAAAGGTATGTCTCCTTTTCCCCTGCTTCAGTGTTTCTTTTCGTTTGGAGTTTCAAAGGAGGAAAAATGGCATATTTATCAGAAGTAAGGTTTGTGGGTATAAGAGAAACGTGGTGAATTTTGCAGAAATTATGCTTCTTTTACTTTTTTTTATTAAATTCTTCATTTGAAAGAAATAACATGACGACCATTAATTTTTATGGGACTGCACGTGCACTTCTTATACTTAATTATTTTTCTCATTCTTTTCTTCGTTTTTGTTTATGTTTTTTCAATATTTTAAAGGATGTTAAGTACACTTGAAGATTTGGAGTTGACTACTCAATAGATTGAGAAGTAACTAAAGAATTGAAATATTCTTTACCTCGTTCGGTTGTGAAATAAGTGATTAATTATCCTTAAATTAATTATCTTGGGATTAGTTATCCACTCTTCCATGATGATATAAAAATACTACAATTTCGGGATAGTTAATCCTGAGATTAGTTATACCACGATTTTATCCCAACCAAACATGAAATAAGTTCATCTCAAATTTAATTCCGAGATATAATTATATTTTATCCCTCGTACCAAACGAACCCTTAGGGAATACAATCTCATTATTAATAATTCCGAGATAAAACACTAAAATAGCAAAAATGTTAAAACTCTTCATCCAAAATCTTTTAAGAAGGTAAGGGTTAAAATGTCGCGAAGTAACTTACGGCCCGTTTGGACATAAAATTTGATGGAAGTTTTTTCCAAAAAAATTTTACTTTTTTTCGAAATCAGCATTTGTTGTAATAAAATTTCCAATTTTCACTTGAAAATGCATTTCGGAAAATTTAAAAAACTCCAAAAAGTTATTTTTCAAAATTTTCACTCAAATCACAAACAAAACTTCAAAAACAACCCAAACTGAAATTTATGTCCAAACACAATTCTAAATTTCAAATATCATTTTCACTTGAAAAAAAAATTTCACCACTTTTTTTGAATTTTACCATTCTTATGTCCAAGCGCCTACTTAAAAGATATTTTTGATAAGGAGGATTTACCTTTTTAGTGGAGCTTTATTGGGACAATAAATTTGAATATTAAATAATTAAATTATTAAAAAAAAAATCTTGGAATAGGGAAAAATAGGTTTAATAGACTGTAGATTTAAAGAGAGAAGTTAAGAAGAACGAAATTTAAATTTTGATTCGTAATATAAATATGTTCATATGGAAAAGAAAAAGGAAATGGCTTCATCAAATCAATGTTTGTCCATATAAAAATGATGATTATAAAACAAAAGAATTATGTTTACTTCGACTCCGTGACTCAAAACCTGAGATTATGCTTAAGACTCCAATCAAATCACAGAGTTAAAGTATTTAGCGATCATTTGCTATATGGGATAAGATTAATAGTAATGTACCAAATATAAATATTTAGTCAAATATAGGGTTAGATATGCTAGTGGTCCTCGTACACTAATTTATTGTATTTTGGATCCAACCTGCAGTGCAAGTTGTTTCAAAGCCGTGGTGAAAATTTTGCAATAACGGACTGAGTCCTACTAAGCTTTTAATAACACAACTACTACTTAATTCAAAAAATTCTTTCTTGGATGTGTTCATTAAAGCTTTTCTAATAACATCACAAGTTGAGTACTAATTCTCTAACAATTAGGAAATTAATTTTAATTTAATCCTGGTTGCTTCCACAGACCGACGACAAGCTAAGCCGCACAAAACTTTAATAATTTGAGTGTCAATCATAATCAATACAAATGTAATTCGTTCAATTTGTCTAAATCTGAGGGTTAGACAAGAGTGAGTTGCTCTAGTGGTTAACACCCTTCACTTCCAACCAAGAGGTTGTGAGTTCGAGTCAGCCCAAGAGCAAGGTGGGGAAGTTCTAGGAGGGAGGGAACTGAGGGTCTATCGGAAACAGTCTCTCTACCCCAGGGTAGGAGTAAAGTCTGCGTACATACTACCCTCCCCAAACCCCACTAGTGGGATTATACTGGGTGGTGGTTGTTGTTTGTCTAAATCTGAGGGTTAGGTGAGTTATGCTTACTTAAGTGAGGTACTGTACTGCATATGAGATGATAAAGTGTTTATGCACTTAAATTTTATCCAGAAATTCAATCTTCACTTAATGCTAAATATATATTTTTTTAATGAATGCCAGCTAAGTATAGTAAGATGTAACTAAATTGCTCCTGAATTCAATCATTTAATAACCATAGTCATTTTTTAGTAAATGACCACTATGAGTCGAACACAATAGAATTTGATCGATTCTTATTGTCGTTAAGGCAGAGAGCTAAACCAAAACTTCTCTTTCTTCTTCATCCTCCTCGTGACCGAGAGAGATTTTTCTGAAACAGGATAATCTTATCCTTTAAGAGGTGTTTTTAAATGGTTCTTAATTCCATCAACTTGCCCATCCAATTTTTGTATAATCAAGCAGTATTAGTTTCAAGGTTTATTGACCGAGTAAGTTTTAACCGCAACACAATCTTTAACAATGTATGTTTAAGTCGTAAGATAGAAATTAAGTAAACAAAAGTAACATCTCAGTTAAGCATTAAAAATTAGCTTAATTCATTTTTAGTTAGGATATCTCAAGAACAAAGAAACATTAGTGATCAGGTGTGTAAATAATTAAAGTCGAATCATCATCAGTGTTAATCAAATAAAAACTAAATTAGATCGATCAAGAAATGAAGAAACTGAAAAGAATTACTGTGATAGGCGTTAGCTGTATAATTAGTTTTATTCATTATCTCTCATTAGAATAATCTTTATGTGAGTAGAATATGAAAGGAAAATGAACAGAAATGAAGCAACTGAGTCTTTAATCTAGAATGCGAATGGAATTTGTTGAAAAGGAAGCGGAGCTTTTTATCAAGTCCAAAGTCTACATATTACTGAAAATGTCCTTCACGTCCTCTCCACGTATTATATTATAGTAGCAAATTTGCCAAAAAAGAAAACATAGTTGAAAAGACAGAAATAAGCTTTTGAATTCCTACTTGCTTGAAGCTTTAGAAGAAACGGAAGTCAGAAATAAGTAAATTGGAGGTACCCTGTACACCAAGCTTCCAAATCACTGGTTTTTGAAAGACTGCAAAACACAAATTAGGAAATAAAGTAATCACTAGTACAAAGTTATTTATACTTGATTGAAAAAGCTTCAGACTTGATACCTCAAAGTTTTTGGACACATCCTCCACCTTATTAGCAATTTCTTGCCTCTTCTGCTGAGCTACAAGTAGCAAAACAAATGGTCACTACAGCCTGAAAGCTTCAAGAGGACAAGGGAAATGCTGGAAATAATAGTTACCCATTTTAGATAGATCCTCCATTCTCTTTGATGATCTCACTGCAAATCTTTGAAAAGCAGGGCTGCGATAAAGAGGAAAAAGGCATTTTAGTAGGCATCTTCAGAATATAAAATCTCAAGTATTACCAAAATTACTAAAAGGGCTTTCTTCTCTTCTCTTTTCTTCGAGAATAAAAAGTATACATCTAAAAAAACGAAAAAGGGCCAAAACTGTCCTTTTACTATATGAAATAGAACAATTATGCCCTCCCTTTAAAGTTGGTAGAAATTTTTCCCCTGCCGTTACCAATCCAAGTCATCCTTGCCCTTCCCCCACTAAGGGATCAATTTTCCAGAATTTTTAAATCCTAAAAATTATTTTTCCCATTTTTTAAATCCACATGGCATTTTAAAAATACCACCCCCTCTCAATCTTTCTTCATACCCCACCATTCCCCCACTCCCCTCTTTTAACATAACCCCTATTTCACATACATGAGGGCAAATCTGCTCCTGGTCGTATAGTGTAGGGCATAAATGATCCAAATTAATACTTGTAGGCGCATCTCTAATAGTAAAAGGACACATATGGTTCTCCTTTTACCAAGAACCTAGTCACATGATACAAAAGTTCTTTAATCTAAAAATGATTAGCAAATCAGAATATATTACTAAATACTAACATTTAGACTGCACAACGTTTCTGAAACAACTATGATGACTGCAAGAAATAGTAGGCAACAGAACGGACGGATGATAGGCTGTCACTTATTTAAAGTAAGGCAACCATAATTTAATAGATTTCTTGTTCTTTGTTTAGTTTGCTTAATACTTTCCTGAGCCGAAGGTCTATTGGAAACAACCTCTCTATCCTCACAAGGTAGGGATAAGGTCTGCGTACACACTACTCTCCCCAGACCCCACGGTGTTTAGTTAAAACTGCACAAAAATGCAAATCACCTTTGACTTTGCTGGTAGTTGCATAGCAAGAGACAAGGATTGGGATGCACTATGACGCAAGATTCACATATACAACAACACAAAACAAACCACCCTGGAATTGATGAAAGGACATCTTTGTTCCAGTCAAATCAAATGACATCATGGAAACAAATAGTTGTAAAAAGAATTTCTTTCTCAACATGCACTAAGATAGAATAACAATAAGAAAATGTACATCATCTCACAGTCATTACAAACGTACAAAATTAAAATAAGAAGATGACCAAGCAGCCTCAATTCATCACATATTTGCAAAGATGACCAAGGATTCGTAACTTTTGCATAAGAAATGAACGTAAAACAAAGTCGGACACTTTCTCATGCTTGTCATTGGACATAGGGGCAGCTTAACCCAAGGCAACTAAAGCAAGGCTTTAGGCCCCAAAAGATATAGGGCCCCAAATATTATTCATATTAAATATATAACAAGTATAGTTTAAATAATTACTCCTATAATTCTTTATAATAGTAAGTCCTTTGATCAACCATTTGCTATGTCAATAATCATTATGGCATAGTCCAAAGATTATGCTATTTTTTAGGGCAAATTTAGTTAAGCTATAACAAATGAATGATATGCACTTGAATGACCTCCTCCTTCATTCTTCTTATTCTCTTCAACTTGGATTAATTTTCCCTTTACCATAGCTTCTGTACGTACCTTGAGCTAATTAGTTCCATATTGATTTTTGGACTTTCTTTGTAACAAACGTACTACGAAAAACTATCCAAGTAGAAGATAATACTCTAATTGATATACTCAATGAAATAAAAGATTGTATTCTTCTTTCACATGCCTATATAATATTGCTCATAGAAAAATATAGACAATTCCCCCAACGTAAAGATGTTTTTCGAAAGTAAAATTAATTAAACTTTACCTAAGATCAACAATATCTCAAGAATGATTAAATAAATTGGCTATATTATCAATTAGGAAGAAAATATTAGAAAAAGTTGATTGTACAATATAATTAACATATTTTCCTCCAAAGGCCTCTAATAACGATTCAGCTTTAAGCCCCGTACATCATCGAGCCGCCACTGATTGGACAGTGACAAAATATGATAGCTGATTGTACAAGAAAAAGCTAGTAAAGCTCATTTTTTAAGAAAAAAACATAACCAGAAAAAGAAACAACTTTTCTTATGCAAAAGTCACGAATCATACAATTCCCTTTGTACATTTCACCTAAGTTACTCGGACACGGGTGTAGGTGTCCGACATAAGTGCGGATTTAGAGGTCGGATCCTTCGAGATGTAAATTGTAAGATTCGTGGATACAGATCCTAGTACGGATACGGGTGCAAGGATCCGGCTAAAAATAATTCAAAAAATAAAAATATAAAAAATATTTCTAAATTATGATAAATTTTGGGAAATACTTGTGTATAGCTTGTAAAGTGTGATTTTTTTTTTACTCTCAAATTGTAGATAAGAAAATGATTGATTTCCTAGATACGGTATGCTATTTTATTCAAATTTAACCTAATTTTGATTTTGATTTCGGGAATTAAATTGTATATCGCCTAGAATTTTTTCGTCCGTCATGGTCAAAGTATCCAAAATCGTTTGACCAGATCCGGTACGGATCCCATACCCACACCCATACTAGTGTCGTGTCGACACGGATGCGGCACCTAAACTGCCATGTTGGAGCAACTTAGCATTTCACACAATGGAAAAGAAAAAGATTGAGAAACCAAAAAACACACAAAACCAGAAAATAAAAACGGAGAGAACCACAAAATACAATAAATAAATAGTGCTTTTCATAGAAACAGTGCTCTGCAGTTCTGATCTTCAATTATTGGATATAATTAAGAGCCGGCGGATCAGTTTTGTTCCTTTGACGGTTTGACCTAAAGTGAGGTTACAAATTTCCAATCAGATCAGTCATGTGTGGTGATTTCTTTCTTCTTTTTTCCAAAGCACTATTTTTCTTTCATTTTGAGAATGCATCCTTCTCAATATTTAACTAACTTTATATCGACTCTAAAGTTGTGATTTTTAGAGTGTCCAGATTGGATCAAAAATTCAAATCCCATATCAAACTAGATAAGAACTGAGTACTATTTTTATGCTTAAAATCACATTCAGAAATAGTTTTGAATTCACTAAAACATGTAAACTAACGTCTAATTATAATAACATAGCTCACAAATGAAACTAACAAACACAAACTTGGATTTCTTTCATTTTTGGGAGATACTATCAGTGAAATCCTATAGCAGGAAGCAGAAAGATAACCCATGACTTGTATTGAAGATGGTTTGACCTATATAACCCATCACTCAACCCGTATTAAATATGGGGGGCTTGGGTTTTAGTCCATTTTTGTTCAACCTGTTAACAACACACCCAGACCCAATCCACCCCAACCCGCCCATTTGACAGCACAGATCTTTCATACAAGACAAACCCATCTTAAGGTTCCTAATATTGACCTTTGACACATGTCTCACCAGGTGGATTAGTTGCATCCTATTCATAGTGACAAGATTTCTTCACTACTAAACTACCTCCTTAACTTGGATAACGAATTTTTCTTTATCGACTAGAAAAATTCAAACTTGGAGAAATATTAGACCTTTACAAAAAAAGACTAATTTTGACAAGAAAAGCATTAGTTCTCCCATCCTAATAAAACATTAGCAAAAATAAAACTATAATTTTGAATTTAAACAGAAAGAAATATATCGAAGCTCAATCAAATGATTGATCAAATGAACAAGAAACATTTGAGTTGCAACAAAAAGTAAAGATGATTCTTTTACACGAGAATATATGCACGAAATTGATTACAGCAAGTTATAAAAAAGCTCAATGTTGTCACCCCCAACCAATAACAATAACTACGCCTCAGTCCCAAAAAAGTTCGGGTTGGTTATATGAATCCTCAATTCTTCAATAAAGCTCAACACATGTCACCTTCCCTCCCAAAAAAACAGAATTTTGACTTGAAAGAATAATAAAACTAAAATTTTGAAATTAAACAGAAGGAAATAACTCAAAGCTCAATCAAACAGTTTATAAAATAATTACCTGTTGGCAAGGCCATTGACGATTAATTCATTGGCGACATAAGAAATAACCCTATGAAGGAAATTTCCCCCACCAGCCATGGCTGAGATTGCACCAACTATCAACAATTAAGAAAATGAAGCAATAAATATACAACTACAGTTTTATTAATAGAAAAATCGAAAAGGTGAGCAAATGGAATGGACCAGATTGATCAAACCCTAACCCGGGGAAAAGGTATTGGCTAAACTATAGGGGAAGGGTTAGTATTTATAAGGTGACTGGACTAGTGGGCTTTGTGCACCGATTAATTATGGGCTTACAAATATGGCCTGCAGTAAAAACTAGTGTAAATGACACCAGGTAGTCACTTTTAAGTGATGTTTAATCTACAGTTTTCAATGTATTTAAAAATTAATCAATTCGCTCAAATCTCAGGACACAGTATCCTGTAGTTTAAACTTTAGGATATCGTATCCTAAAGCTCGAAAATTGTGACTAGAAATTTGAATCTTATTGAATTTTAAATTAGCAATTTAGAAATTCAGGACACTAAGTCTTGAATTTTAAATTTGTAGTTTAGGAATTTAGTATACTAAGTCCTGAATTCTAAATTAGTAGCTCAAAAATTTAGGATACAAAAATATAAAATACTTAATCCTGAACTAATCTTTAAATACATTGTAAATTGTGCATATATTTTAATAGCATGCTTAAAAGTGGCTAGTGCACTTCGCCCTAAAAACTCATAACCCATTGAGGTGGTACTTTTCCCCCTTCTTTTTATTTTCCATTTAAATCTTTTTTTTCTGGAATGATTTTCTTTTCTTTTCTTTTCTTTAAGCATTTCATATGGTGTAGTACAATAATTGACTCCATTGAATTGAGCAGATGTAGAACAACATCCGTCAGGTATATACGAGACGACGACAACAACAACAACCCAGTAAAATTTCACTAATGGGGTCTGGGGAGGGTAGTGTGTACGCAGACCTTACCCTTACTCCGAAGGAGTAGAGAGACTGTTTCCGAAAGACCCTCGGCTCAAAAAAATAAAAAGACAAAAGGGCAAAAAGGGAGACAATATTAGTATCGCAACAACAATCATAGGATAAATAGGAATACCATGAAATCCAGAAGAAAGATGCAAAGTAAAGGGAGACAATATTAGTATATACGAGAATTTTTAATAAATTACATTAATTTATTTGGTAAAAACTCATTGCATTTTTGTTAAGGTTTCACGTACAATGTATTACCACCTTGCATAACCTCCCAAGAAAGACAATAGAAGAAAAATGGGGGAAATTTCTTGGTAATTTTACCATAGGACAATGAAAATTCAAATTTTTAGTTTGATTATTTTTCTACAGTAATATCGTACATTGAACTTTGAAGTGGCCTTTTGTGTAATTAACCCCTACTTTTATTTTGTGTGATAGAACGAGCCTGAGTCTTTTTTGTAAAACTTATCCACATTGCATACTCTATTATTACCTAATAACTATGGTTAATTAATTTGTATTTTTACCTCATCTATTATTTTTTTGTTAAGTTCCAATTCCTGCTATCTCAAGATCATATGGTGGTATTGAATATAGTAATAAATAAATGAAAGAAAAAAAAGAAGGAAAAAGCTGTATGTGAGTACACAGAGGATCATTTGTTGCTATGATCAGTTTGGTTTGTTAACTATTGCTTCAATAAAGTTGATTATGTAAGAAGTTATAATTTACAATTCACATATGGTAATGGCATTTTGCTTTATCATTTTGATTCAAACACTCGTACAATAACAATTAACTATAACAGTTAGAAAACGTCTTGAACAAACAAAACTGTAATAGAGAATTTCGAGTGTAATATGATAAAAAAAAAATTTCGAGTGTAATATGAAAAAAAAAAAAAAAATCCCATTTGTGGGCTATAGATATGCATAAAGTAATCGATTCCAAGTGTCAGGAACTCCAGGCAAGCACCAATGTATACAATCCGCAAAATGCAAAGGGTCAGCTTTCTGCTCATCACTCAACAATTTGCCATATGATTCACCATAAATTGATGAATGAGCATCAATTCTGTACTCAGATAATTGTGTAATATTAAGGACAGTAACTTGAACTTTCATTCTTTTGATCACACTTTCCACTACTTTCATCATCTCTTTGTTTGAACCAAATCCCCAGTGGCCTCTCTTCATTACTGGTTTTGTTTCATTGAAGCACATGATCCCATTTATATTCCCCCAATCTTTATTTCTGAATTAATATTATATTCGCTTGTTAAAGTGGTGTTAGTTTAAGTTAAACCAAAACTAATGAGGTTATTTTAAGGAGAAAAAAAAAAACTTAATTACCTTTCGTGGCTAGGAGACATGGTGGTAAAAAGAATTCGGGTTTTATTAGAATCAATTGTGGAATCAATCCAATTTGCCCAAGTCCTCAAAGCTAGTCTGTAAGAAACTGGTGTGTCTAATTCTTCATAGCCTTCTTCTCCATTTTGAAATTCACCCCATCTGCATTTTAATCAAAAAAATAGTAAATAGCATTAATCATTAAGGCGTGTTTGCAAATTATTATACTTATTTCTTTCTTAAATAAGTAACTAGTGACTATATGCCTTCTTGGATTAGTAAGGCTGGAATTTAAAAAACACTTCTTAGTAGTCTAAAATGACTTTTGACCAAACTTTTTTAGTTAAAATAACTAATCTAAGGGACCTAATGTTGGGAATAAACCCCCAACAGAAATAATATTTACAGTAATAAAAACGGAATAATAACGTAGCACTGAGATACAGTAACTAACATGAATAAAAGCGTGACAACGATACCAAGATTTTTACGTAGAAAACTCTTTTAAATAAGGGAAAAACCACGGTCCCGAGACGAGCAACTGATATCACTATAGCAAGGAATTTTACACTTAGTAGGTCCGAGTAAAATACTCCAAAGATCACTACAACACTCAAAGAAATAACCATCTTTTGATATTCTCACCTCACTACAATATCGTTCACTCTCTATTTTTCTCACAAACTATTTTCTTATATCTTGTCTGTGAAACCTCACTCTTTCTTTCTCTCTTTGTTGGTGTGTAGAAATAAGATCTCTGAAACTCTCCTTTTATAGCTGAAGCCTCACTCTCTAAAGCCTATTATATTTGATAATTTACACACATTTTTCCTTCTTTTTCTTTAACGTTGATAATTCAACAAAGTTGGCTACCAAACCAAAGAAATTCAACAAAGTTTGCTACCAAACTAAAAAAATTCTCAGTCAAATATTTTTCTTAGACACATACATATTACTTTAATTTTTGAATGAGATAGACCCATTACCTGACAGATTAATAAAGAACTGACAAGGAAAAAATTTATCCACACCTAATGTTTACTTACGGTAAATGAATGAATAAACAACAAGTATTTTACATGCACGTCTATAACTTAAACAACAGTTAATTATTGTATATTAATTTATACATCAGTATATTACTTTGATTAACTTGTATAGTTTAGTGTAAATATCATCAGACGTGGATAAATTTTCGCCGAACTTACAGTGTGTTGATCTTGAGTCGGCCCATCCACCAAACATAAGTATTGAAAACAAGGATATCAATTCCAAGCCAGTTTTGGGCACGTTGTGTAATTGAGTCAACTTTAACGATTTTCTGATTTGGATTGAATTTGATATGAAAGTCAGTGTTAGATTCCACCAAGAATGGTGCCCAGTAGAACTCAATGCTGGCGTTGTATTCCTGAAAAGTAAGTGGAGATATTAAGCTGCAGATTTTGGATCTCAGGACTCATATGTACCGCCTGTTCATTTTTAGTTGTCCACTTTTGACTTTGCACTGTCTTTAAAAAAAAATAAATGAAGTATGTCTTTTATAATTTTAACTATAATAATAATAGTTTTTTCAAAAATCTCGGGAAATGATTCGGGGAATGGGTAATTAATGATAAGGAGCCCGTTTGGGTGAGCTTATTTTAAATGACTTTTAAGCTAAAATAGCTTTTAAGCCATAAGTTAGGAATTCTACCTTTTGACTTTTGGCCCTAACTTATGGCTTGAATTTGTCATTTTAGCTTAAAAACAAGTAGTTAAAAATACTTTTTTATTCTATCCAAACACTACAAAATGACTTAAAAGTGATTTTGACTTAAAATCACTTAAAATAAGTCAATCCAAACGGGTTCATAGGATGAACATGAAAAAAGATTGTCGTGAAAATGTATTTTTAATACAATGGACTAGTAAAAATGAATGGAGGAAGTAAATTTTAAAAGAATTCTTGAAAAAGACAAAATCTTTATGTTGACCGGTACGATTTAGTATTTACTTCAGCTTTAAAGACAGAATGCCCACGACTTATTTTTTTCATGGACTTCTGGTCTTTTGGGATTATAGATTCCACCAAGCACACAAAAGATTGCCATTGATTTTTCTGTAGTGAATCACCAACGAACATTAGCCTCTTTCCTTGAAGTTTTATGAGTGCAATCTCGGGATCAAACCTGATCGAGTCATAGAAGAAAGAACACGTTAATTATTTCACCGTTAAAATAACAAAGATTTCCATATCATAGTTGAGATTTTTAAGTCTATAAGTATCTCATTGCACTAAAGCAAATTGGTAATAAGTTTATAGGTTGAGTGGACTCTCCCATATTATAAGCCACTCTTCTGTATCATCTATAACATGTATCAAAAAATAAAACAAGAACCAATGTCACATAAATTTCCATATCGAAATAGAGAATAAGAATTGACATTTCAATTAGCTTGCTAACCTTGGCAAGACACACTCATAAGGCTGCCATTCCCAATATAGATAATCTGAATCGTTTCGGCCGTTCTTAACGCAAGCATATTCCCTATCAATATATGAACAAGTCCTGTCCGTATACAATGGCTTAATTGAAGGGTTAAATACCCAATTTCCATCAGTATGGTTGCATTCATAGCGATCATTCTCGTTTAGAGGATTGATTTCCAGTCTTTTTACATCTATTAAGCCAAGAAAATGCTTCGGAATAAGATGATAAAATACATACGAAGTAGTGCAATTTGGATTTAATAGTATTAAAACAGATGGTTCACCTGTATGAGATTTCTTAGACTTTGTAAAGGTGCATTTTGAACAAGGTTTAAACTTGAGAACGGAGTGATAAGTACTGATTTTGTCAATGTAGAAGAGAGAAATGAAACCTATTGTACAGATAATGACTGTGATTACGGGCAAAGATAAATTTCCTCTAGCAGATTTTGTCCATCCCATTGTGAAAGTGAGGAAAAATTTAACTTTGAAATAAGGTGAAGGCAGAGTAAAATTCGAGGGCTTAGGGCTCAATTTACAATATTTATCAAGTTAAAATTCGAGGGCTTAGGGCTCAATTTACAATATTTATCAAGTTCAATGTTAGTGTGCTATCTTTTGAGTTTAATACTAATACACTTGTTACTGGTAATATAGGTTTACTTCCATAGGCCGTTAATCAGTAATTAGTTGAAGCATTTGCTAAAGACAGCATGGGTAAGCCGGATACAGATGTTTTTTCGTTTTTTTATTTTCATTTTTTAGTGCACTAAAGACATGTTATATCAATCAAATTAGCTACCATTAGTAGAGAAAAAGAAAAGCCACTTTCTTTTTACCATTTTCTACCTGAGACTAGCTATAGTGATATCTCTCTCCAACCAACATTGTATATAAAAAGGCTATTAATTGTTAACTTTGTTTATACTATAGATCTTTCTACATAGTGTTATGCGTATGTTGTGGCGATTATATTATGGTAACAACTAACAAATTTAACAGAAAATAAGAAGATAATAAAGACAAGATGACATCAAAGAGATAGAATTTCACAGTAGAAGGCAAAACGCAACTACTGATCTGAGCTCTCAATTCTTCTTTTAGTTTACGGTAGTATACATGAGTAAAACCGAACCCGCTGCATGACTCGACTTTCCGGTGAGTGAATCGGAGCAGGAACAGGACCGTATTGTATCGGAGTCAGAACGAAGAATCCTCGTATTAGGGCTCGGGCAAGGCACATGCCCTCGTGGATATCGGGGCAATATCCTCGAGAGCCGATCTGAAGATTGAAGACTTCGGAGAACATTACCAAGTAGCTGCGCATGACTAACAAAGGACCGTTATGTCCGTACTTAACCGGATATCACGGCGCGTATCTCGGCTCGTATCGGTGATCGGCGAAACGGAAGATTTTTACCTTTTTTAGAATTATACTTAGGGTAAAACTCCCCTACTATATAAAGGGGAAAGATTATTATTCATAGGGATACATTGTAACACGCATATCAAAGCAATATACTCTTAATTTTTTTATTATTCAAAGTCATTACTTTTGTTCATCAGTTCTTCATTAGTGTGAGCTAGGGATCGAAAACAGACATTTCATTAAGACGTTACTAAGTCCGGGATCACGCTTCTTATTGGTTTGACAATTTATTACATCATTTATCTGTTTAATCTAATGTCATTTATCATTTGTATTGAATTAATCCGCATATCCTTAAAACGACATATAAATTTAATTGTTATATGTTTTTAAGGGTAAACAATTTGGTGCACACCGTGGGACCAAGGATAATAGTGGCAATTTGATACAAATTTTCATAACACACTATATTTTACACTTGTTCTTTCAGCTTTTAATTTCAGGTCAAATTAAATATGTCAAACTCCAAATCTGCCCATTTGAACGTTGATGCTGAGTCCGACCACCATGGCGAGAACAACAACGTGGTGCCCAGCAATGAGGTGCCCCCTGTTGACCCCAACGGAGTCCCAGTCGTTGATCTGATCGATGCTAACTCACACGTGTCTATCAAAGCAAACTTGCCTACTGACCCCGAAAACAACATTCGCGGGGAGCCCGATCGATAGCCCCGAGTACATACGATGGCGAAGGTGATGAGATCAACTTGCGAGTGATCTTTGAAATATTACAGGCTCAACAAGCAGCAATACCCCAGTTGCAGAACCAAAGTCGCGCCACCAGCAGAGCTGATCCCGAACCATCCCGGAAAAACGCTCGCAGAAATGAACCGTTCACAGAAAGGCCGGGTGAAGCAGAACCCGGGACCAACCCCGGGATAATAAAGATGCTTGAGGAACTGACAAAACGGATAGAATCGGGAGAAAATAAAATATGAAGACAATGATAAAAAAAATAGAGACATATAACTCCAGGGTCGATCAAATCCCTGGAGCACCACCAATACTGAAGGGCCTGGATTCCAAGAAATTTGTCCAAAAGCCTTTCCCTCCGAGCGTAGCTCCGAAGCCGATCCCAAAGAAGTTTCGTATGCACGAAATTCCGAAGTATAACAGAACAACTGATCTAAATGAACATATGACCTCCTACATGTGCACCATCAAGGGGAACGACTTGGAAGATGACGAAATCGAATCGTTTATGCTAAAAAGGTTCAGAGAGACCTTGTCAAAAGGAGCTATAATATGGTATCGCAACTTACCCCATAATTTTATTGACTCGTTTGCTATGCTTGCAGATGACTTTGTAAAAGCGCAATCCAGGGCCATCAAGGTCGAGACCAGGAAGTCAGATCTTTTCAAAGTAAAGCAAAGAGATAACGAGATGCTCATGGAATTCGTGTCGAGGTTTCAAATGGAGTGGATGGATCTGCCTCTGGTCGCAGACGATTGGGCAGTTCAGGCATTTAACCAAGGACTTAATCCCCAATCTCATTGGCTTGCAACAGTTGAAACAAAATTTGATAAAATACCCGACGGTAACTTGGGCCGACATCCATAACAGGTACTTATAAAAAATTAGGGTCGAAGACGATCAGATCGGGGCACCACTCAGATCTGTTTATCCCGTCAGAACTAGTGATAGATCTAAAATGGTCGTCGATCATGAACCAAGATCGAACAGAGATCGGTATCAACCATACAATGAAGATCGAATGGTTAATAGGTCTGGACGCAACCCTGCGAGGAGTGAGAGAATGAGCGATCGAGGTCATAATAACCGGGGACTCATGAGCAAAAACAGTTTCGACAAACCCATCAGGTCTAAGGAGGCACCAAGGTTATCAGAGTACAACTTCAACATCGATGCTGCCGACATCATATCAGCTATCGGACGCATCAAAGATACTAAGTGGCCTCGACCATTGCAATCTGATCCTTCCCAAAGGGACCCCAACCTAATGTGTAAGTATCATGGCACTCACGGCCACAGAACCGAAGAATGCCGACAACTGAGAGAATAAGTAGCCCGGTTATTCAATAACAGACACCTCAGAGAATTTCTGAGTGACCGAGCCAAAAATCACTTCAGGAATAGGGACTCCAGTAAGAAGATCGAGCAAGAGGAACCTCAGCACGTCATTAACATGATCATTGGTGGAGTTGACATCCCCCAAGGGCCGATATTAAAGCGCACTAAGGTGTCCATTATAAGGGAAAAATGGACTAGAGATTATGTACCTGAGGGAACCGTATCTTTCAACGACGAGGACGCTGAAGGCATCTTCCAACCATATAATGATGCACTGGTAATATATGTACTCATAAATAAATCTCGAGTTAAGCGTGTGTTAATTTATCCAAGTAGCTCGGCCAATATCATCAGATCGAGGGTCGTGGAACAACTGGGTCTACAAGACCAAATAGTGCACGTAGTCCGAGTTTTAAACGGATTTAACATAGCATGCGAGACTACTAAAGATGAGATAACCCTTTTGGTAAACACCGCCGGAACCGTTCAGAAAACAAAGTTCTACATGATCGAAGGAGATATGAGATACAATACTCTATTCGAAAGGCCATGGATTCACAACATGAGGGAATTACCCTTGACACTACATCGGGCGTTAAAATTCCCCACACCGGGAGGGATTAAGAATGTTTACGGAGAACAACCGGCCGAAAAAAAAATATTCACGGTCGATGGGGTGACCCCGATATATGCACTCTCGACATCAAAGAACCTAAGTTTGGTTACCAAGGAAGAAACCAAATAGCAATCACCGACACCGGCCCCAATCGAACCAGAAAAGCAGGAGACAAATGAGGATGATGATTACGGAGTCGCTAGGTCGTTCATATCCCCTGACGATTCCAATACCACCAAGTCAACAATTGAGGAGCTGGAGTAAGTAAAATTGATCGAGCACTTTCCCGATCGAATGGTATACCTGGGCACGGGACTAACTCTCGAGATCAGGAAGAAACTCATTGAATTACTTATAGCTAACATAGATTGTTTCGCTTGGTCCCACCTTGATATGACAGGGATCCTGCCAGACATAACCACTCACAAGTTGAGCTTGGACTCGAAGTTCTACCCGGTTAAACAGAAGATGAGGCCTCAGTCCGAGGTCAAGCACGCATTTATCAAAGACAAGGTATCCAAACTCCTTAAAATAGGTTCCATTCAAAAAGTTAAGTACCCGGATTGGTTAGCAAATGTAGTAGTAATGCCTAAAAAGGGAAATGAATTAAGAATATGTGTAGACTACAAAGACTTGAATAAGGCATGCCCTAAAGACTCTTTTCCTTTGCCTAACATCGATCACATAATCAATGCGACAGCCGACCATAAGATACTCAGCTTTCTCGACGCTTATTCCGGGTAAAACTAAATCCGGATGGACCCGAGCGATCAGGAAAAAACTTCCTTCATCACTAACAACAACAACAACAACCACCTAGTAAAATCCTACTAATGAGGTCTGGGGAGGGTAGTGTGTATGCAGGCCTTACCCCTAACCCGAAAGAGTAGAGAGGCTATTTCCGAAAGACCCTCGGCTCAAAAATAAAAGACAAAAGGACAAAAAGGAGATAATATTAGTATCACAACAACAATCATATGATAAATAAAAATACCATGAAATCCAGAAGAAGGATGCAAAGAAATGGGAGACAATATTAGTAAATATTAGTAAATACGGCACATATTGTTATAACGTAATGCCATCCGGACTAAAGAATATCGGTGCCACTTACCAACCCCTATTAAATTGGATGTTCAAAGAACAAGTAGGAAAATCAATTAAGGTTTATATTGACGACATATTAGTTAAGTCCTTGCGAACAGAGGACCATTTAGAACATTTGCAGGAAACCTTCAACATACTGAAGATATATAATATGAAACTGACCCCTAAGAAATGCGCATTAAGGGTCGGGTCCGAGAATTTCTTTGGATTCATGGTATTCAACCGGGGAATCGAGATCAATCCCGATAAAATCAAAGTTATAGAAGACATCACCGTAGTGGACAATGTCAAGGCCGTTCAAAGGTTAACTGGGCGTATAGCCGCCCTGGGTCGGTACATATCAAGGTCCTCCATTAAGAGCCATCGGTTATTCTCATTGCTGAAGAAGAAGAATAACTGTTCATGGACCCCAAAATGCCAGCAAGCTTTGGAAGAACTCAAACGGTACCTTTCGGGTCCGCCTTTGCTTCATACTCCGAAGTAAGACGAGCAGTTGTACCAGTACTTAGCGGTATCCGAGAAAGCGGTAAGTGGAGTCTTAGTTCGGGAAGAAGAAGGTACGTAATTTTCTATATATTATGTTAGCAGGACTCTAGGCAAGGCCAAAACAAGGTATTCTCACCTGGAGAAATTGGCGCTCGCTTTGCTAAGCGCCTCCATGAAGTTAAGGCCATATTTTAAATGTCATCCCATATGTGTCGTAACTACTTACCCATTGAGAAACATAATGCACAAAACCGAGCTCTCGAAACGATTGGCCAAATGGGTAGTGGAAATTAGCGGTAAGATATCGAATATCGACCCCGAACATCCATCAAATCTCAAATTTTGGCAGACTCCGTGGCCGACTTCATGCCGACCTTAATACCCGAAGTCAAAAAGGAATTGTTGTTAACCTCGGGGACCTCCTTGAGAATCTGGACCCTCTTTATGGACGGTGCCTCGAATGCAAAGGGGTCCGGACTCGACATCGTGTTGAAGCCACCCACGGGTAACGTAGTTAGGCAAGCTATTAGAACTGTGAAATTGACTAACAATGAAGTCGAATATGAGGACATGATTGTAGGTCTCGAATAGGCTAAAAGCTTGGGGGCCGAAGTGATTGAAGCCAAATGCGATCCCCTCCTCATGGTAAATCAAGTCA